ATTCCCACAAGCCCATGCGTAGGTCACCATGCTTCCAGCCAGCGACTCTCCATGGCCTCCGGTATAGGCCCTGCCATGCTGACTCAGTTTCTCCATCTGCTCAATGGACATCATAGCAGTACCTGCCTCGGATGTAGGTTGACACAAGGCCTAAGGGAGATAATATGTGAGAAGTGCTTGGAACCGGGCCTGCACACACGAGTGCTCAGTAGAAGTGGTCCTGCAGTTCTTCTGGGGCTCAGGCCTGAACCAGCTTCCCCTTCCTCGCCAGCACAGCAAAGCCAGCACCTCACCTCCTCCACCCCCGCCCCCGACTCCTCCTCACCCAGACCCAGGCCAATGGGGTTGATCCTCACAAGCATCGCCCCACCTGTACACCTGCCCAGGCTGCAGTCTCCCTGCCACCCTTCCTCCTACTCCTTCGGGAGGCAGCTCCCACTGCCCTGGGCTAAACCCACCTCAAGTGCTCTGGACCTGGGCTACCCAATACCTGGACCACTGGCCCCCAGTGGCTATTTCCATTAAAAAAATTAAATACAAGCACCCCAGTGTTCACAGCAGCACTGTTTACAATAGCCAAGACATGGGAGCAACACAGATGTCCATCAATAGATGACTCAATAAAGGAGTCGTGGTATATTTATACAATGGAATACTACTTAGCCATTAAAAACAATAAAATAATGCCACTTGCAGCAACATGGATGGATCTGGAGATAATCAGACTCAGTAAAGTAAGTCAGGCAGGGAAAGACAAATACCACATGATGTCATTTATATGTAGATAAATAAACTTACAAAATAGAAACAGACTCACAGACATAGAAAAGAAACTACGGTCATCAAAGGGGAAGGGTGGAGGAAGGGATAAATTAGAAGTTTGGGATTAACAAATACACACTATTATATACAAAATAAACAACAAGGTCCTACTGATAGCACAGGGAATTATATTCAATAGCTTGTAATAACCTATAGTAAAAAGAATATGTGTGTGTGTGCATATATATATATATATAACTGAATCACTTTGCTGTACACCTGAAACTAACACAACATTACAAACCAACTCTACTTCAGTTTAAAAAATCGCAGTTTCTCAGTCCCACTACAGTCACATCTCAAGTGCCCAACAGCCTAACTACTGTACTGGACATTCGCATCATTCCAGAAAGTTCTCTTGGGCTGATATTTTTCCTTCCTGCTCTTGGGGGTCCTGTCTATCATGGGACATATCTCTCCTGTGTCTTCCATCTCTCCTCTGAAGGGGTCAGCCTGCCTGAGTTCAAAGGTTCAAAGTCACCTGCATGACTTTATAGCTGCATTAGCTAAGTTCCCTAAAAACTAAAACAAACAAACAAACCACAAAACCCTCCCTGTGCCTCAGTTTCTCTGTCAGCAAAATGGGAATAATAATACCAACCTCCCCCCGACCATAGAGTCAGTGCTCCTAGGAAACGCTCAGCACTGGGTAAATGTTAGCTGCTGCTCTTGTTACGCACTTTCTGCAAAACGCGGAAAGAAACTCAAGCCTCCTTTTTAAATCTGTATGCGGAAATAATGGATGATTCCCCAAAGGAACTGCTACGTGGGAAAAAAAACTGGTAGCCCCAGATCACGCACTAAAAATTCGTTTGTGTGTTTAAAATATGTATTTACCATAAAATGTGTTTTCTTAGAGCACTCTCTAGATCAGCGGTTCTCAACCAGGGGCAATAGCACCCCCTACAGGGGCCATTTGGAAACTGTGGGTTTCTAAACTGCAGGGAGAGGGGTGTCCCTGGCTTCTAGTGGGTGGAGCCCTGGCACTGCTGAGCCTCCTACAGCGCACAGGACGGTCCCCGCCACAGAGTGACGCAGCCCCAAGTGGCAACAGCTCCGAGGTGCAGAAACCCTGGTCCCTGTGCTTGTAAGAGCCCAGCCCGGCAGGAAGGCGTATATTGCCAACTAACTTCATGGGGATTGGATTGGACGAGGTCACCAAAACCTTACCAGTTAGTGTTATTTTAAACTCTCTCTTTCCCAGGAGGTTGTGTTCAGGTATCACTTCTGTAACCAAGAACTACTTTTTCAAAAAAGAAACAAAATAGCAGTACACGTATCCAAACCAAGCAAAGAAACAAAGCTCCTTCTCTGACTCGCACCTCTCCCTCCGGATAGCCTATCTCTTTCTCCTCCCCTTCACAACCAGCTCCGGACTTCTCTGCGCTTTCTCACCTCCTCACACTTTCCCTCACCTCCTCCGCCACAATCTGGCTTCTGCCTGCCCAGCCTTCTCGGGCAGCTCTCACTCGGGCCACCGGTGGCTGTTGCTGGAGACCTGGTCCAAGTTCCTCCCCGTCTTCTTAGCTCTCAGTACCACCCTTCTCAGCTGCTTTATCCCACGCCTCTGCTCCTTCTGCACTTCAACCCAGAACCAGCTAGTAGTTTGTGGGGTACATTGAAATGAAAACGTGGGGGTCCCTTATTCAAAAGTATTACTAGTTTCAAGATAATCACAGGAAATCATTGAACCAACTGCAGCGCCCTTCTGAGCATGGGGCCCCCAAGTGACTGCACAGGCCACTTACACTCCAAGCTGCCCCTGCTTCCCTCTCTTCCTGGTGTGGTTTCCCATGTCTCTTGTCTGCCTGCTCCTCCTCTCAGGCTCTCCAGCTTGGTCGTGCTCCCAGCATCCCCCACAGCTTGCCTTCCGGGGTTGACAGAATGCATCTCTAAAGATGCCCAGGCATGAACCCCTGAAACCTGTGAGTGTACTGTATCAGTAGCAAAGGGATCCGCAGATGTGCTTCAAGTTAGGAAACTTAACAGGGAACTATAGCCAACATCTTGTAATAACCTTTCATGAAAAAGAATATGAGAACAAATATATGTATGTGTGTGTATGACTGGGACATGATGCCCTGCACCAGAAATTTACACAACATTGTAAACGGATTATACTTCAAAACAAGAAAAAGTTAGGAACCTTAATTCAGTATCCTGTAATAAACTATAATGGAAAAGAATCTGAATAAAGAATGAATATATGTATCTAGCTATGCTGTACACCTGAAACTAACACAGCATGTTAAATCAACTATATTTCAATAAAAAAATAAATAAAAAATAAAATGAATTTAGGGCCCTTAAAATAGGGAGATTATCCTGGCACAATGGTTAGTTTGAAGTGTCCACTTGGCCAGGCTGTAGTAGCTGGCTCGTCAACCAAACGCTAGTCTCGCTATGGCTGGGGAGACACGCAAGTGGGGCTAACATCTACCACCAGCTGACTCTAAGTGAAGATGACCTTTGAGGATGTGGGTGGGCCTTATCCAATCAGTTGAGAGGCTTTAACAGCAAAAAATGAAGGTTTCCCTGGGGAAGAAATTCTGCCTGAGGACTGCAGCATCACGTCCTGCCTGAGCGTTTCCACTGTGCCCTACGGAATTCAGGCTTGCCAGCCCTTAGCACTGCAAAATCCCATTCCTTGAAATATATACATTTCTATATTTAGCTTGTACTGATTACTGAGTGATACATTAATGCATATCCATTACCAATGGTGATATATAAAAAACGTCTTTTCTGGGTGGATCAAGTCTAATCACAGGAGCCCCCAAAGCAGAGGACCTTCCCTGGCTGGAGGCAGGAAGGGGATGGAGCAGGCCTGCAGATCAGGGAGGTTTGAAGCAGAAGACAGACTCAACACACTGTTGCCTGGAGAGGAGCCACAGAGGAAGCACCAGAGGGCCTCAGGCAGCCTCTCCGAGCCCACCAGCCTGCCTCTGACAGCTCAGTGGGTACAGTGGGTTTGGGGGGGGTGATGGAAGTGTTTGTTTGATTT